CATGGTCTCCGTGATTTTGAGAATTTAAGGCTGCTCTAGTGGCTCAAAACTGTCGTTGACATAGAGTAGCAGCAAGTAATTGCACGTAAGGGGGTATACTTAATAAAAGGGTGTTCGGTCATGTGCTGCATACTTCATTTCACACCATGATTATGATGGTTTACCCACGTGCTACAAACGCCGGTCCGTCGTTCACCATGAAAAGTTTTATTTTCATTACCCGAAAGATAGGGAACATATGGCTTGGTAGGGTGTGGAGAAATGCAATGGATTGGATCCACGTGACCCTCCGTGTGCTCGGCTACGGACCCTGCAGGACATGACAGTACACCGACGTCGATGACGTTCATGCTAGCTCTTTTGATCAAGATTACCCCACTGATTAGTGTCTGTTTCAATACTGGTAGTGCTGTCAATCACGACAATGAACACAGCTTTCGTTACACAAGACACCACGTGAGCATGCGCGCTGTAACCTGCGTGATGGGACAAGAAACACTTGCTTCTTGTTGGCCAGTATTTTAATCGACTTGGGTTCGCCATCTGGTTTGTAGTCCGGTTACCAAGCAGCCCAGCTTGCTTGATGTCTTCTTTCCAATGGGGTGCCTCACCGCTTTCGGAAACTCCAACTTACTGATCACTTCTCAATGTGTATCAAGACCATCCCTTTCAATGAACAGCTATTCCAGTTGCCTTGTTGTCAGGCAAGTTAAGTGATTCGTCGTTGAGAAACTGCGATTGTTTTTACATCCGATGGAGAACCTGACAATGTTTTGTAAAGATGTGTCTTAAAACCGCTACGTCCAGTTCGACTGCACTCAACGCAACATAATTTCATGTTTCTCCGTATGGGCGCCTTCAGATTGACCGGCGAGTCCTGTTCGGAAGTTTCTTATATATGTTCCTTGAAAAGTACTTTTACCTACGGTTTGTATGGTTGTCGAACAAGAGTTCCAAATATTGTTATCTTCCAGTCAGCCGTTTCTTTTTGTCTTTAATGTTCAGGTTCACCAAGAATATATTGTGCAGTCTTTCCATAGTTCCCATTTTTGTACACTGAACTAAAGTTTAATTTGAGCTGCGTGTCTGAGGGGTGTTCACTAGCTGCGCTGTGAACTAATTGAAATAAATTTCAGCTAGCGTGGAGCTTGTGTGTGTGAGCTGCTGATCATAAACGTTCGTGATTCGCTTCTCCCCCTACTTGTGCCGTCCATACCGTACCGAACAGAAACCTCGTTTGCTAGTTGCATCGCAAGCAAAGCTGTGCTAAACAATTAAATTTTTCGGTGAAACAATGCGAAGACGTGTCCGACGACGGCTTTTTCTGTCTTTGTCAGGACGTGATCCAGTTCTTGATACCACCTAGAGGCTGAGAATACAAGATTACAATTACTTATCATAGCTAGCTTATTCAAACCTATACTGTACAGTTACGCTTGTTTGCGCTTATTATGGTTCTACATACAAATTTGCTTATACTGCGCTACCTCTCATCACCTTGATAGACTAAAACCACACGTCACTTCGGAAGATATTGAAATTATCCAGTAATAGACTGACCATCGGTGACCGTGCTGCTATCCAGGTAACTGCTGCTGAGGCACAACTAGCCCTTACGCGCACGCACCTTGTCAAGACATTCTCAGCCACAAAATTCTCACTTATTCTGTACTTCACCTGACTCTTGTGCGTAACCCAATTCCATTCAATGTTAATGGGCTTTGCTGCAGTGCAGTACATTGCTATAAACTTTCCTGATTTTCGCCCAAATTACATATAAATCTCAGTTGGATTTGCGGGCCTTTGCCTAGAGGTTTTGACATCCACCTTTTCAGTTTGGTGGTTGTTAGTGGACTGCATAGATTTGGAACGTAGCGACCGATTTACTCCTTTTGTTCATGAATCTCCTTGGTTGATTATTCATGGTTGAGTCGCTTGTTTGAGCGTAGATTTTAGTTTGACTCAAACCAATCTAGATTACACAATATTGAGGTAGATGCTGGAGGAGACCGAACCTCAACCTGGTTGTCAGACGTTAGTAATCAGTAAAACGTAGCGATGGGGATTAACTTATGACTCAAGGGAGATTCTTTTGGAATTTGCCCGTCTCTCCTCCGTACTGTTCTTCAATAGAGTGTGCTGTACCGTCTTCTGTTTTAATTGGAAGTATACTCAGTTTATCGAGTGATGTTCCAACACTGCTTATAAGATCGATGAAAGCTCGAGACAGCCGACTACAAGTTTCACCCTCTCTGAGACTTATAGGATAGACATGGTCCTCGGATTTTCACTTGAACGCCTAGTTGTTCTTGTGTTAAGATAAGAACGTTTGACTCGGGGGAAGTTCACTTGGGTTTTTTATACTGTCCATTGGTTTTACATTGCAAAGAATATGTGGCTACATGATACACTAAACACTCGTTCAGACGTACTACCCTGTTGGAGCCTAGTTACCATACCACCTGGAACAATCACGAGAGTTGAGATACCACCGGGTTCCCCAAGCCTAGATAGAAGTAGTCGAGATGCGGGGGTTGGATTCGAACTACGGACTTTCCGGTCAGTCAGTCCGCGCCTTATTCACGAAGCCACAACCAACTTCGTGACAGTGGTGTGTCGAATTCTTCACTATGCCAACCCCTCGAATGGATATATTTGCTTGTTGTTTAGGGGTCCCTTTACACTTGGTTTGTCCGTGCTTGTTAGAGTACGTGGCTTGGTATCCGTATACTACTGGCATCATAATTGGTCAAATTGACAATTCGGATCGCTTGACACCATCGAAAAAAAGGCATGTGCACAGCCACAATCGGTGCTGCGCTACCAGCAGTGTGACTTAATCAAATCATTTGTTGCCCCGCTATCGCCTGAATCAACACGGCTGATTCGTGAGAACAACGCGAACTGAATCAGCCGCCTTCGTTCCTACACTATTTCTCATTTGCACTCAATGGTTTAATCTGTCTGACAGACTGAAATGCACGTGTAAACACCCGGAAACACCTTGCACCTTTCATTTATTGAATCTCGTCCACCGAATCAATCGGGATCTGGTCTATTGTTCAGCGAACTCGGTCTAAATCGTCCATCGGTCTTTTAGCCAAGTTTTGTTAGATTCCCGGTTGAGGAATAGCCAATCCCCTGGAGTATCTTTACAGCCAAAATGAGGGAGTTGATTCTGTTCTCTTTCCGGTTCTCTTCGTAACCTATTGGGACCGAGTGACCCGTTTGACCATTTTATGTTTGGTAGCCGGCATCACCACAAGAAAACCATGGTATTTATTGTCCAGTTCAACTTTCTTGTGTTGCCTTGCTCCCTCCGTCTTTCACACACGCACACACTTCAACTCCTCAACACGTAGATAACTTATTCCCAGCCGTTTACGTTTCGACTATTACTGGATATTAGTGTAAGAAGAGAGTGGCCTCACTGACAGAGTGAAATCTCAATTGAAATTACCAAATCCCCTCACATCGCCATCAGTCTACAAGTAGTTTAAGGTAAGAATGACTTCACAAGATTAGTGAGTGAAAATTTCATCTAAGAAGCCTCAGTCGTTGAACTAGTCAATATGTGCGACTACGTGACGCGGATTCCGTGACTGAAGGATAAGTGGCGCCTTGTTCCATCTAAATGAGCGTTAATCAAACTGGCCGGAAGGTCACGGGTTTGAACATTCCGGGGTTTCGTAAGATGTGCGCTGCTGCTGCTGAAACAACTCTGCACTGCTTCTCGACTTTCCACCACAAATTGGCTTCACTGACAGGACGAAACCTCCACTGAGCATTACTGGATATGTGTATTTCTCATTCACAGCCACCATTCTTTAACGTGTTTTCAATTACTTCTCTGTTTTCCTTGCAACAGGAAACCTATCCCTTTGAACCACCATTTGTCCGCATTCTTTACCCAGTAATTGAGAATGGTTATGTTCTCGCTGGGGGAGCCATATGCATGGAACTGTTTACCAAAGAGGGTTGGTCCAGTGCATACGATATCGAATCTGTGATTATGCAGTTGGCCGCCACCCTGGTGAAAGGACGAGGACGAATCAACTTTTCTGCTTCCAGTGTGAGTTTCTTGCGAGCATTTGTTCATTTCGGTTGTCTGTATTCTAAACAGCTGGCACGGTCAACCTAAGTTACGGAACTATTTGGAATCCCACGTTAGAATGTTCCAGGATCTCTGTCTCTCTCTCTCTATAGTAATCCCCGAGGCTGATCTAACAGTCAGTTTGATGTCGTATTTTTTTGCTGTCCGCTAATTTTTCTTGACCTCGCACGGTCTCTTCGCAACTATCATTTGCCCAACACGATCACTGTGGCCTCACTATTGACTCCTTGTTTCATGCATGCTCGCTTCTTGGGTGGTGTACTCGGGAAAGGTAGAGCGCAACTTTTGTTGCAACGTGCTCTTCAGACTTCCTGTAAAATTTCAGGCGTACAGTTTGATATATTCTTTCTTTCCTTTTAGGATAGTTAAAACAAACCACCCGAAATCCGACTATTCGGCGAGATGGCTCAAGTGGTTAGAGCGCGAATTTACTGACCTGACCGTCCGTGGTTCGAACTCGACCTCTGCCTCTCGACTTTCCCTGTCTAGGCTTGGGCAACCATCCCTTGTGCTTCCTTCGGGTGGCATGGCAGCTAGGCACCGAAAGGGCACTACAGCTGAACCATCATTATTATTATT